AACTTGAACCCAGGCATTCTAATTATTGGAAGTGGACGTCTCAACTCAAGTGTCTTAAATTCTAAGCCAATTGCTCCCGTAGGCAGCTTGGCCTAGGCAGTGTCCGGTGGAGTGGAATGCATGTGTTCTCCAAAGTGAGATCCAGTGCTCGCTGTTGTGAGACTGACATTGGACAGGTTGTTTGGTTAGAGGTAGCAGTCCACTCCAGGGAGCATAAAAACAAAAGATTTCTGCACAGATAGAAACTCTCAGAAGCATCGGGGATCAGAGTGTCCAGGCTGAGCTCGCAGGAGCAGTTCCCCAGCTTTTATTGCACAACAGAGCTGCTTAGGGGTAGGCTGCTTCGGCCAAAATAATTTCTGCACAGAACCACCAAGCTGTGAGCTGAGAGCCACGTTGCCCTGATCCAGGCCAGCAGAACCGGTGGCCCATGCCCTGCATCTCTCCCCAGGTGGCTCAGTTCTGAATCCAAGTGCATCTGAAAGGTGGAACTGAAACTGAATCCCGGCAAATGGGGATCCGGATTCTGTGCACTGGAAGGATCTGGCATGTGTGTGTGGAGCGAAGCAGTCCACTGTATCTGCAACAGGGCTTTGAGCCTACCTCTCTCGTCCAGCGGCATGTTGAAGAAAAAGCATAGTCCTCATCTGTCTTCCATGTGTCCCTCCTCCCTTCCTTCCTTCCATCCTATTTTTGCATTTTTTAAAGTTTTTAAAAGATCTGTTTCAGAATACCTCTCTAAAAGACAAAGTTTTCTTTACAAAGCATAATCACAATACCACCATGACACTAGCATTTTACTTATTTATTTGTAAGTTCAGCATAGTTTATTGAAAAATGAAGAGACATTTACCTGATAGGTCAGGCAGATATCTGAAAAGAGTGAGAAACCTGTCCTGGGGATTTATGGACATAAATATGAGTCCCTTGTTTCTTCTCCCCTTATACTATTTCTGGGATACTGCTGGGGGAGGGCTTTCCCAGAACTCCTCAATAGTTATCCTGGTTAAGTACACTAACATTTTAAATACTAATTCCTGGGCTGGCACTGTGGCACAGTGGGTTAAGCTGCTCTCCCCAGTGCTGGCCTCCCATACGGGCACCAGTTAAAATCTTGGCTGCTCTATTTCTGATCCAGCTCCCTGCTAATGCAACTGTGGAAGCAGTGGAAGGTGGCCCAAATCCTTGGGCCTCTGTACCCACGTGGGAGACTCATGAAACTCCTGTCTCCCGGCTTCTGTCTGTCTCAGCCCTGGTCGTTGGGAAGTGAACTGGCAGATTTGAAGATCTCTCTTTGTCTGTCTCTAACTCTGCTTTTCAAATAAATAAATAAATATTAAGAAAAAGGGTAGGTTCTTCCTAAAATAAACAATAATATCCTCAGTGTTTTTCAGTATTCAAATTTCCCCAATTGTCTCAGTTTGAAAAACTACTTCCAACTGGGTTCCAAATGCTGATTTTGAGCTTACAACATAGGATTTATTGGCATGTCTCGCAGCTCTTTTTCTATACAGACTTCTCTTTCCCTTCCTTTCCCTGGGCGCTCTCCTGCCCCAGCTCCTCCTCTCCCATTGTCCTACCCGTTCTCTTCCCCTCCCCATTCTTATTCTTGGCACTCTAACCTGACCCCTTGTTCCTCCTCTTCCTCTTTTCTCTCCTACCACTTGGAATTTGTTTTTAAACAAACTGGGTGGTTCACAATATAGAGTTTATCAGAGTCTGGGTTTTGCTGTCTGTATCCTACATTGTCCTCGAACATATTCAATTGTCTTTTTTGCTTTCTATAAACAGGCATTTGATATAGCAGCTGATCTGAGTTGAATTTGACTTTTTGGTAAGAATACTTGATCATTAAACCTTTCAGAGGCTTGCTGTGTCTGATTATCTCTCTTTTGGTGACATAAGCAGCTGTTGGCGATCTTTGCCTAGATCTGTCTTTTCACTAGCGTTTACAAAACACATTGCTACTAAAGGCCATCATTTCCCCCTTGTTTATTGGCTGCAATACTTCCACAGTGAGAAACTGTCCCTCAAAGTACATTTATACAAAAAAAAAGTGCATTCTAGATTTCTTGTTTATTATTCCCTTTTTATTTATGTATATATGTATTTAAGATCTTATTTATTTGAAAGATGTCGCTCCCCCTCTTCGTGGAGGAACGACACTAAGCCCTGCGCTGTTCTTTCGTCTGCTCGGCCCTCCCCGGGTTTGCTGCTGGTTCTTCCCGGGTTGGCTACTGTCCCTTCCACCTCCGTGGAAGGGCAGTTCCCCCTGGCCACATTCCCCACTTCCGCAGGGGAGCGGCACACCGCCGGCCGGCTTTCTCGGGGGCTGCACAGGTGTTCCTTCAGCTAGATGTTCCCCTTAGGTGTTCCTGGTGCATGCCGTCTCTCTCCTCCTTTATAGTCCTCCTCCGCCAATCCCAACTCAGCTGCCCACACGCTGAGTACGCTGCTCTCCTCCAATCAGGAGCAAGTCCTACAGTTTATTGGTTGAACTGGAGGCAGCTGTGCGGAAGCTGTTTACTTCTCTCCCAGCGCCATATTGTGGGAGAGCAGATGCATAGAATAAGTCTTAATTCCAGTAACTCAGTCCAGTCCGGGCTGCTCCCCACAAAAGATACAGTTATAGACAATGAGAAGGAGAGACAGAAAGGTCTTCCATCTGCTGGTTCACCCCCAAAATGTTTGCAATGGCCAAAGCTGTGCTGATCCAGGAGCCAGGAGCTTCTTCTGGGTCTCCCACATGGGTGCAGGGGCCCAAGCGCTTAGGACGTCTTTGACCCCTTTCCCAGGCCATAGCAGAGAGCTGGATCAGAAGAGGAGCAGCTGGGACTAGAGCTGGTGCCCACAGGGGATGTCGGCACTGCAGGCAAAGGATTATCCTCCTGTGCCACAGTGCCGGCCCCTATTTATATTTTTTTAATTTATTCTAAAGGGAGAGAGAGAGAGAGAAAAAGTGATGTCTTTGAATTACTATTTTGCTTCCCAAATGCCTAGATGCCTACAACAGCCAGGGCTGGGCCAGGCCAAAGCTAGGAACCAGGAACTCTATCCAGGTCTCCCACATGGATGTTAGGGACCCAAATACTTGAGTCATCACCTGTTGACTCCTTTGGTACACAGTAACAAGAAAGCTGAATTAGAAGCGGAGGTGGGACTCAATCTCAGGCTCTCTAATAATGGAGGGATGTGGGCATCCCAAGTGGCAGCTTGACCTGCTGTACCAAAACACCTGCCCTCACCCCACCCCACTTTTTAAACCAATACTTCAGAGCAACAAATTGATTTTCTACCAGGGTTGTTTTTTTGTTTGTTTGTTTGTTTGGTTTTTTTTTGTTTGTTTGTTTGTTTTGACAGGCAGAGTGGACAGTGAGAGAGAGAGACAGAGACAAAGGTCTTCCTTTGCCGTTGGTTCACCCTCCAATGTCCGCCATGGCTGGCGCGCTGCGGCTGGCGCACCATGCTGATCAGAAGCCAGGAGCCAGATGCTTCTCCTGGTCTCCCATGGGGTGCAGGGCCCAAGCACTTGGGCCATCCTCCACTGTCTTCCCGGGCCACAGCAGAGAGCTGGCCTGGAAGAGGGGCAACCAGGAAAGAATCTGGCACCCCGACTGGGACTAGAACCCGGTGTGCTGGCGCCGCTAGGTGGAGGATTAGCCTAGTGAGCCGCGGCGCCAGCCTCTACTGTTTTTTAAAAGTATCATTATAGGTGGGTGTTTGGTACGGCAGTTAAGACATCATTGGGGTTGCCCACATCTCATATAGGAACGCTGGATTTCAAACCTCAGCTCTGATTCCAATTCCACCTTTCTACTAATGTGCACCCTGGGAGGTAGAAGTGATGACTCAACCAGCTGAGTCCCTGTCACGGACATGAGAGACTCAGATTGAATTCCAAGCTCCTGGCTTTGAGCTGGCCCAGTCCTACTACTGTGGGCATTTGGAGAATAAACCAGTAGTTGGAAGATCCCTCTCTTTCTGCCTTTCAACTAAATACTACTAATAAAGTATTATGACATCATGTATTTAAGCATATCTAATTTGTTTTTAATTCATTGCAGTTATCTTTGGTTAGTGGGAACCTCATTAGTTCTTTTGTCACACCTCTAATAATCTTGATGAGCCTTTTGAGTTCTAGTACCCTAAAATATTCCATATATATATATATATATATAAAATTCCTGCCCTAGACTGAAAACCAGCCATTTGTCCAAGTATCTCTGGCTCCTTTGAGTAAAAAATGGCATTTAGAGATGACAAGCTGGATTCTTCATGAAACATTCTGTTTTCTAACCGTAATTTAATCTTCAATTACTCCAAGAATTAAAGAATGATTAGATGTGATCATTAACATGGAGATAAATGAAATTTCTGACCTGGTAGGCCTAAGTAAAATATTGAGAGTATATGATGGTAGTGGTTGCTGGCTAATAGCTTAGGAGTTTGAGGGATTATGGTGGTGTTTTTGTTTTTGTTTTTGTTTTTGTTTTTGTTTTTGTTTTGCTTGAATTTAACTTTTGTCCAGCTACCTTGACTTTGACTTGGGTAATTTCCTTCTCTGTGATAGGGTGTTGAGAGCAGAAGAGAGAGCTTTGCTTCACCAACTGCTAAGGAGGAGGGAATACATGGTCTTTCTTCTCCTCAGAGGCTGCCTTGCCAGGGCCTAGTTCAATGTGCTGTGGACACTAAGAGTCTGATGAGGGGCAGGAGGTCTTGTCTGGTGTCCTGGAGACTTGAACTTGCATCCTGAATTGCTGAATCATGCTCCCTTTTACTCCTCCCTTCCTGTCCTACAAACCATTTAACATTTCAATAACTGTTGCCTCATCTGTAAAATGCGTAGAGTAATTGTGTGAGTGAATTCGTCAGATGGAGCATAGGCAAGGACGGTTAGCTTATCCTAGCTACTAGGATGTCTGTGGGAGTCATTCAGACAGAAATAAAACAGCTACATGAATTAAAGTGTTTATAGTGACTTTATCTCCATCTCACTTCAGGGTTGTCTTGTTCCTGTCTATAGAAGCCAGATGTTTTGATGGGCATCATAAGTCCCCTGGTCTCAACATCTTATCTCTACTGGCTCTGCCGCAGGACTCGGCATCAACTCAGTTCAGACCCCTTGATTGTCAAGGTATGGACCTTCTAATGTTTCTGGGAGAGGGGATACATTATCTCATTATCATCTACTAAAAGCTTGCTTAAAATAATCGTATCTGTCTAGATTGTGGGTCACTGAGCAGGATTCTGTGAATGGGCCATGGCTTCTTTTTATGGGGAAGAGGGCTGGGGACATCCAGAAGAGACCACGTGGCCACTCTGGAGGGCTCTCATTGCAAAGAAGAAGGGTGGGCAAAGGAAAAGTCTGTTGGCAGGTGACTAGAAGCTATCTGTTGTTTTCATCTGTCCACCACCTAGTCCATCTTGTTATTTTGGAGAACTTTCCTTTCTTCGTTGGGTATGTTCTTGTGACAATTTCCATGTCAGTAGCCCCACAAGCAAAGGGATCAGTATATAATCCAAACTAGAACAGTCAGATGCTTCTTACAGGAACTGAGTCCTGAGTGGAGTAACACAAAGACCTACAATTATTGGGGTGCCTCTGACTCAGGGGTGATGCCCTGAAAAGAGATGGTCTCACAGCTCCTACTCCTTAGATCTGCAGAACTGCTCTCATTGCCAGCATTTCTAAGCCTGGATTTATTTCTAAGCCTGAATTTATTTCTCCTCCTATGGGATCAAGTCAGCTAGATTTGGTCTATGTAGCTTGTAATTAAGAATTATAGTGTAAATTTACCACCAGCACTAACGACAACAACCCTGTTAATACTATCATTTAATCTTTTCCCCTCTGTAGTAACAGAGAGCTTTCTAAGGTCTATTACAGAATACCTTATCTGAAGGCACTTACATTGCTACTATTTTGGTTGGAATTTGGGGGGCTCATCTCTTTCCTAACTCCGCATGGCTTTCATTGATATGATTCCTAGACAGTTTGGGCTTACGAGGAGGCAAAAAGGAGGAGGGCTGGCCTATTTCTTGCTCTTTGTTTTGATGGACCATTGTTTAATTTTGTACTGTTTTATAGTATGAATACTGTAAGAAAAGTAAAACACTGGGGCCGGCACTGTGGTGTAGTGGGTAAAACTGCCGTCTGTGGTGCTGACATCACATATTGGTGCCAGTTCGAGTCCCAGCTGCTCCACTTCTGGTCCAGCTCTCTCCTATGGCCTGGGAAAGCAGTACAAGACGGCCCAGGTTCTTGGGCCCCTGCACCCACTTAGGAGACCCAGAAGAATCTCCTGGCTTCAGATTGGTGTAGCTCTGGCCATTGCAGCCATCTGAAGAGTGAACCAGCGGATGGAAGACCTATCTCTCTCTCTCTCTCTCTCCCCCTCTCCCCCTCTCCCCCTCTCCTTCTCGCTCTCCCTCTCCCTCTCTCCCTCTTGGCCTCTGCCTCTCTGTAACTTTGCCTTTCAAATAAAATAAATAACAAAATATTTGTAAAAAAGTAAAACACTGTATTATCCTTATTGCAAATGTGGTCCATGGTTATATCAGGAAGCAAAAAGATAAAAACAAAACCTGCCCGAGATCACCAGACGATTCCTCTTTAACATTTTGTTGCTCTTTATTTTAGTATGTGTGGCCACACATAATTAAATAATGTGTACTTAACAAAAATGCAGTCAACTTGTCTTTGTTAACATAATTTAATATTTGGTAATGTTTTTCTTGTTATTAAATTTCAGTATAATTTTTAGGGATTGAATAGCCTTCTTACCCTATTGTATTCTTGTGTTTATTTTTCACATTCTTTGTCAATCCAAAATTTCAACGAATGGCTAAACATTGAGATCACTTCTCTGTTCTGAAATTGGCATAAATACTGTCCAGTGGCAGACATAACCCATATCAGTATTTACCGTACATAAGTACTGCCTTTGGTGGTGGGCTGATTGGCTGGTGGTAAATAAAGCAGGTGTAAGCTTTGTGGTCTGGGTTGTAGATATGGCGTAGGACACATCATGCTGGAAGAGCTGTACAAGGATTGACATGACCTTCAGTTCAGCGGGCCTTCCGACATCTCTCTCTCCGATGATAACAGGCTCTCCCAGAAGAGAGTTTGCACATAGGCCCTTTGTTATCAATACACTTTAATCTCAAACTGTACCAAGCCCACAGATATGCTAACGAGAGCCTTGAGTGTCCTGGACTTGACTGTGAAAATCTCTTCTTAGCAGATTTCAGGAAGTGCTGTGAAGTCTAAACCCTGTAACGTGCAAGTGGACAGGGGCGAGATTCTGGATGGCCACCTGCTTCACTGGGACGTGGCAGCTCTTGTGAGTGGTGGAACCAGGTAAGGACGGCTGCTGTTTCCTAGGGACGGGGGATCTTGAATCATCTTACTGTCTCGGAGAACTTAACAAAATCCTAAAGAATCACCCAATTTTCATAGTTTGGAAAGGCATTTTGTTGAATTACTATTTTTTACTATCTCAGACTTGAAAAGCAGGTACCTCAGTATGGTAGCCCTATGGCAAATAACTTGCTATTGTATCATGAGTGCCTTATCATTGAGCTTGCAGGCTTCTAAGATACATTTCCCTTCAGAAGGCAGACAGGACATCTACTTTAGAATTCAAATGCAGGTTTTTAATCACCAGGGAGAAAGAAATAGTGTTGACCCATTTTCTGATTTCTCTAAAGGTGGAGGTTGAGTCGGCTAAATGGCGCAAAGAATGTATTACCATTGGCAGCGATTCTGGGAACTCAACAGAATAGTGGAACACATGAGGTCATTCAAGTCTAAATAAGAGGTGGACAGTCTAATCTGAAATCAAGTTCCATTACTGACTTGTGTACAAGGCTGTAATCAGTTACACACACACACACACACAGTGTAATTTTTTCCTTTTTTGTTAGTTTTTGCACCATGTCTGTCTGATACATGGGCTCCTACTATGTGGTCACATAGAATACATGATCTGTATGGAGTCTCTGAGGTTTGGAGGTCCAGTGCTCAGTCTTCTTGGCTAATGATAAGCCTCATAGAAACCAAAGTTTTGAGCAAGAACTGGGCATACTGGGTTGGAAGTTTCCTTCGGAACCACCACCTAATGACTAGTAAGCTTCTTTGGATCGTCAGTGTTGGAAGCATTCCTTAGAGGTGTTTCCTGATCCTGGAGCTATGATAGAAGTTGGTACCAAGACACAGACTGACCTTGTTTTGCCCTACTTTTAAAATCGTCCTTGCTCTTGGTGGTGAATATGATCACGGTGATAACAAATAGATGAGGAAAGCCTTCTATTTCCAGTTTCTTTGTCTACTCCCAGTTTAGCTACACCTCTGAAATGTCTGCTGTTAGACTGAAATTTCACTCCAGGCCCAGGAATTGTGAAAACAAATACCTATAGCACTGGCAATAACTTAGAAATGACTGTCTGGGTAGGGACTATCACAGGTTGAGGAATATCTGCTCTGTCTAACGGGAACAGCAGCTACTCTGTTCTAGCAAATTTTAGTTGAGCAAACTCTCTGTCCTTGGGAATCTGACTCAGGGTTGCCATCTTATGAATTACTTTAAATAAAAATTTAATTTTCACATCTGTAAATGTAAACATTTTCTTTACAGATAAAACTGTGAATGCATTCTTTTAAAAAAAAGATTTATGTTTTTTATTTATTTGAAAGAGCTATAGAGAGAGGGAGAGGGAGAGAGAGAGAGAGAGAGAGAAAGAGAAACAGAAACAAAGAGGTCTTCCATCTGCTGATTGACTCCCCAAATGACCACAACAGCTGAAGCTGAATTCATCCGAGGCCAAGAGCTTTTTCTGGGTCTCCCACATGGGAGCAGGGCCCAAGGACTTAGGCCATCCTCTGCTTCTTTCCCAGGTGCATTATCAAGGAGCTGGATTGGAAGTAGAGCAGCCAGGACTTGAACTGGAACCCATGTGGAATGCCTGCACTGTAGGCCAGGGCTTTAACCCACTGTGTGACATCACTAGCCCTTGAATGCATTCTTTTACCTTGTTATCTGAGTAAAATTGAAACAAAAAGTTGTATGGGCCATGTATTGCCCATTTTGTGTTGCCATTTTGCAACTCTTTCCGGTAGCAAAGTCTTAGCCACAATTATCCATGTGGAAGGCAAATGCTGGGATTCTAATAATCCTTTAATTCTAGCCTCCCATAAACTCCTTGAAAACAGGGAGGAGTACTGATTCTGCTACTTTGGAAACTGATGATAATTGCTAGCATTCTCTTTACTTCTTATACTCCATTCAACAGAAGCAGTATTACTTACATCATTTCGTCTTATTTTGATAGGGACTTTATCAGATAGGTACTAGAATCGTCATCATGATACCCATATTTACAAGTGGGAAAACCCAGGCTCACTTTCAGGGGAAGATTTTCCAAGCTCATTAAATAAATGGCACACATGAGATTTAAACTTTGGGGTGAGATTTCAGAGTCTAATTTTTAACCACCATCTTAATGCTTTTCCTATTACTTTATGTGTATTTTAGCTTTTAGGATCTTAAGGAATCTCTTAGGCCAGTTTATGCTTTTGTAGATCACAGGGACCTTCTTGATCCTCATCCTTTGACACAAAGTTTGCAAATTGTGTGGGAGCCTTCTGATTACTTAAAGGAAATTTTGCAAGTGCCTGGCTTGAGACCAAAGATGCCAGCCCCCTTTCCATGCCTTTTTCCCACCAGATAGTAACTGAAAGTTTAAAAATTGAATTTAAGGGTGGAAGTTTTGTGTTTTACCTCCATGTGGTGATGACAGTTCTATTGAGCCTATAACCACAGGGTTCACCTGCAGTCCTAATAGGACTTTGCCTAAGTATAGGCAGCATGTGAGTCGTCCTTGCTGTCAAAAGTGCTCCCAACTCAGACCCATAAACAACAACTTTGCCATAAATGAAAGCAGTGTGAATAGCCAAGGAATGCAAGGAGGTTTTAACTCAACAGTCAATGCCAAATCCTGAGTGGTGGCAGCCAGGAACAGTACTCTGTTGAGTAGGATTTGGATATATCTGAGCTATTCACAAAGAGTGCTATAATTGATTGGGCCAGTCTGCCATGGGCTTGGGATATGGAACTAGCAGTACATATTCTCTCTATTTGACATCCTTAGTGTAGTATCTTTATATGAAAGAGCCAAGACATCTTAGTCTTCAGAGGCTTGAAGCATATGCATTGTATGCATTTTTTTTTAATTTATTTGCCAGATAGAGTTAGACAATGAGAGAGAGAGACAGAGAGAAAGGTCTTCCTTCCATTGGTTCACCCCCCAAATGGCCACTACAGCCGGAACTACGCTGATCTGAAGCCAGGAGCCTGGTGCTTCTTCCTGGTCTCCCATGCGGGTGCAGGGCCCACTGCACTCCCGGGCCACAGCAGAGAGCTGGACTGGAAGAGGAGCAACTGGGACTAGAACCCAGCACCCATATGGGATGCCAGCACTGCAGGTGGAGGATTAACCAAGTGAGCCACGGCGCCGGCCCCACATTGTATGCATTTTAACTTGTGTTTCTTTTTCTCTCTTTTTTCCCATTTTTTCTCCCATCTCTGCTTTGCCTCAGGAAAAATGGCCAAGCGAAGTTTCTCCGCGTTGGAGGCATTCCTGATTTTCCTCCTTGTGATGATGGCTGCCATTACTGTGGCCCTTCTCAGCCTCTTGTTTATCACCAGTGGAACCATTGAAAACAACAAAGGCAAGTTTCATAGGCTCTCTGGGATGCTCTTCCTAGGCCTGGGCAAATTTCTTGGTTATCAGGGACCTCCGATAAGGCATGGTGTCTGCTGGTAGTTCATTGTGTACTCATGCCCTCTGGGGTGGCTATCTCCCTTTCTTCCTCGTGCATTGCCCTGTGTGCTTTGATATCAGTCTTTATCAAGTGTACCTTTGTTCTCAAGTTGCTAGTGAATAGGCTTTCTGACCTGCACTGATCTAAGCATAGTTCAAGTTTTTCAAGTCCAATAATGTCCGCTTTATATAAAAAGTTTACGTATTCATTTTCATTTATTTGAAAGACACAGGCACACACACACACACACACACACACATCTCCTCCATCCTCTGGTTCACCCCTCAATTCCACACAACAGCTGGGGCTGGACCAGGCAGAAGCCAGGAGCCAGGAATTCCAACCATTCTCCCAAGTCAGTGGCAGAGACTCAAGTGCTTGAGCCACAATCTGTTGCCTCCCAGGGTAGGATGCTGGATTGGAAGCAGAGGAGGCTTTCCATTCCAGGCATTCCGATATGGGATGCAGGTGTCTCAAGGGGTGGCTAAATTGCTGCACCACAATAGGTACTCCAAGTTTTTGCCTCTAATCATTTAGACTCTTTGTCTCACTGTTGGTATCCTTGTCTCCTAGGATTGAAAGAAGAATGAATGTTTGCTAAGTGTCAGTCAGTTTATGAAAAGCTTTTAGAGAAGGGAATTTCAAACTCAAACCCTTACAAGGACCAATGAGGTCCTGTAAATGAGGTGGAACAGGAAGACAGTGCAGGTATGATTTTGTGAAGGGCATTCATAGCGCCTCCTGATTGTTAGCCGCTTCTTGTCATGTTACATGGTCTCAGGTCTCTTAGCTTTTCAAAAGAAGCTGGAAATTATGATTTTTACACATCTTCTGATACATACACACAAACACATATATATATTTATATTTTATAGAATATATAGTATATATTCTATATAATACATATATTATATATAATATATATACAATATTGAAAATTGTAGGCCACTTTCATGGGCATTGTTGGCAGTAGTTCTTTAATGGAACCTCTGCTTCCATGTCAGGTTAAACTCCTGTTAAGTGAGTGAAGAAGACAGGGATTGAATGCTGACAAAGTAAGGAGGGGGTGGGGTGAGGGGGCTGGCCTCAGGCTAGAGAGAATGGCGATGACATTTTTCACCTCGGTGTTCCTTTTTATGTTCTCTCCCTCATCCAGTGTGTTCTCTGTGTCCTTGTTCTTCACGTTCCTTGTAAATATAGAGGAAGAGAAACACTCTGTGCTAGAGAGCAGGCAGGTGCTGGGCTGCTGGAAATTAAAGGATCCTTAGGCTTCATTTAGTTTTAGCTCTTAGCGAGTCAGGAGCTGAGACTCCAGCAGGTTTTAATAATGATAGAAACTATTCACTTAGTCGTGATTCCTGCTTAGTGAATGGCTTCTTTATAAATAGCACTATAATAAGAGCTCTTTGCATTTTTCTGGTCTAATTCTCACAAAGTTCCTCCAAAGGTGGGTTCTAGTTTCAGTGTCGTTTTATATATGGGAAAACTGAGACTCCGAGAGTGCAACGAGCGTGCCCCTGGCTAAGTGGTTAGGTTTGGTTTTAGTTGGTGCCACATTTCTATCTTAATAGCATTGAGGCAATAGCAAAGGTATTTGTTTTCCTCTTTGCAATATTTGATGTCATGAAGCAGTATGGGCTCGGGGATGAGAAGACAAGCTTTCTAACCCTATCTAAAATTTGGCTGAGGAAATATCAGATTCTGAGCTCCAGGATCTGGGCTGAGCACAGATTAAATGTCTGCAAGGAATTTTGGTTAAATCACTTTTCTGAGTTTTCATTTTCTCATTTGTAAAACTGAGGAGACTGGACCAGGTGATCTGTAATTTTATTTTTAGCTCTAGAATTCTAGAATCTCAGTAGGAGTTAGCTGTTAACTGCTTACCTAAGTACTGTATGGCCGCTAATGCCTTATGACAGCAACACGTGCTGCCCTGGCTCCTCCTGGCTGTTTTCTAGGGCAGGGGACAAAACAAACAACTAAATTGTGTATATGGGATGTCCAAATATGTAAAGAAAACCAAAGCTGTACACTCACCTTTTTTCTACATTCTTAATGTGTATTAACACATTTATTGTTAATTAACATATTTATAACAATATTTATAACAATGCTAGGAGACAGGCTATTATTATAATCTTCATTTAATAGATGAGCAAATTGGGGTGAAATAGGTTAAGCATTTTAATTAGTGGTAGAGTCAGGCAGTTTGTTTCTGGTAACTAATATTTTTTGAAAGATTTATTTATTTATTTGAGAGGTAGAGTTGAGACAGAGTGAGAAACAGAGAAAAAGGTCTTCTGTCTGCTGGTTCACTCCACAAATGGCCTCATGGCTGGAGCTGAGCCCATCTGAAGCCAAGAGCCAGAAGCTTCTTCCAGGTCTCCCATGTGGGTGCTGAGGCCCAAGCATTTGGGTCATCTTCCACTGCTTTGCCAGGCCATTAGTCAGGGAGCTGGATTGGAAGCAGAGCAGCTGGGACACAAACAGGTGCCCATATGGGATGGGGACATCGTAGGCAGCGGCTTAGCCTGCTATACAGCAATATTGGCCCCAGCAAGTGACTTCTTAATCTTTATATCATTTTGCCTCCCTTGATATTCATGTTAGAGTAGGAAATGTATGTGTGAATAAATACACATATGTAGATGTGGAAATACAGATACAAGAGTAATTAAAATAAGGAATAACCATGTCAGCAAGTGTATAGAGCTCTGGGTTGCATTGAGAATAAAATTCATTAAAAGATCAAGGAAGATCGGAGCAGGGTAGAGAGAGTTGGGGCATCCTGGAGATGAGGAGCAGAGCTGGCTCCTGGGGAGGTGGAAACTGACTGACTCTGTGGGGCTGTTGGAGATTGGTTGGGGGAGAAGAAAGGAATGAGGGGTCTGGATGGCAAGAATGGAAGCAGAAAATCCCGAGTTTGCGGTTAGTAGATCACAGTAGAACTGATCCCTGTTTTATTTGGTGGAAAAGAAGAGCAGCGGAAGTGAGAGAAAGGGATGGGATGACAAGGAATGGCTCATGATGGGAAGGTGCAGGCTGTTTGGTTGGTAGTCTGAAATATCTCTAGTCCAAGAAAGAGATCTTGATTGGAATTATGATTTCAAACCGGTTCCTGAGAGTTTTCACTGTGCAACTTATATAAGAGAATATACAAATAAGTTTTCCTTAGGAATCCAAACTTACATTTTCTATTTGACAAATAAGTGGGCTGAACTATTTCTCAAATATCTGACTGAATTTTAGATTCAGGGAACCTTGATTTTTCAACCAGCCAAAGCCCTCCAGCCACACAGGGCCCTGCAGCCACCCAATCTGCTCCAGTGACCTGCACCCCGGAGCTTCAGAACTTCAGTGGTTACCATATTGGTGTTGGACGAGCTGACTGCACAGGACAAGTATCAGATATCAATTTGGTAAGTAAATTCCATGTTCTTCAAGGAGGCTGAAAAAGGAATTTGGTTATTTTTATCCTGCATTTATTCCGATTATCATATCATCATTATCTTCTAGCTTTTCTGTTGAATTTGCTGCTGTCTATCTAGCACTATGAGTATCATGCTCTGAGTAAGAGGAAACTTATTCAATTACCACTCTGTTGTAAAATGTACAATTGGAAGTGGAAGGGGTAGGGCAGGCAGACTCAAATACTGCAGGGGTTGGGCAGATGTCACAAATGATTGAACCAAGCCAGTGTAAGATGAAGAATGTCTACTGTATCCTCAGTCTGGAGAAGGCAGTAGTAGGAAGTAGTGAGGACTTGGTAGAATAAAGTTCACAGAAAGTGAAAGAAAGTACATGGCTATAGCTGATTGTTGCCATGTATGAATGTGGGCTTAGGGCCGCCCTATCTGACAGTGTTTTGGGGAGCAGCCAGACAAATCTCTGTATTGAAGATGTGATGATTTAAATCTGTCACCTGTAAAATGTAGGCAATTCTAGTTAAAACTGGAAACCTAGATTGAGTCAGCACCGTGCAGACCAAATCAGGTCCAGTGTGGCCTGATGACTGTTAGCATGAGACATCTTGCCTATGGTGGTTGAAATACTCATTGATGTCAGTGCTTCCCTAGGAAACCTGAGCATGACATTGTATGATGGGATTTTCTCCCCTTTTATCAGTTAGTGTTCTGGAATGTGAACTCTAAATGAACACTCCCATGACAGCTAAGGCAAACGGTACAGGCCACATTTAAAGACATGGACATAGCTTTTACTAGTGGATTTGTGACAGTGAGACAAGGGGCATAGAATAGTCATGACTTGACTTAGGGAGTGATAACAAGGTAGAATTCAAGGTAAGGGCCATTCAGAAAGATTATTTAATCATAAATATACCATTTTCTTCAGAAAGTCAAATCACATGACAAACAACCAACATGAGAATGCCTCCCAACTCCAGAATATTGCTGGGCAATATAGGGTGGAGGTAGGGGATACATTTTCTTCTGTAGTGCCTTGGGAATCCTGGAGAAAAGCTTCTGTTTCAAAGAACAGAAAGGCCCCAGAAGGTCCCTAATGCAGTAATAGAATTCCAGAGCCAGGCAATCCCCTCCTTGCCCATGGGTCAATGAGTAGCTTTTGCCAATTGGATCAATACTTTGCCTTTCTGGTTTTTTAAAAAGTTTATTTTATTTATTTTAAAGGCGGTGTTTACAAAGAGTAACAGAAAGAGAGAGAGACAGAGAGAGAGAGAGAGAGAGAGACAGAGAGAGAGAGATCGTCAATTTGCTGATTCAGACCCTAAATGGCTGCAACAGCCAGAGCTGGGCCAGACCAAAGCCAAGAGCCAGAAGCTTCTCCTGGGTCACCCATGTGGGTGCAGGGGCCCAAGCACTTGAGGAATCCTCCATTTCTTTCCCAGGCGCATTAGCAAGGAGCTAGATTGGAAGTGGAGCAGCCAGGCCTCCAACCAGCAACCATGTCAGATGCTATCAGATACCAGTGTCATGGGCGGTGGCTTTACGAGCTATGCCACAGTGTGCCCCCAACCTTTCCATTTTTTTGACACATAAGAATCAAGATTCTTTTACGGTTCTGGCTTTCTTCTTCTCTCTTTATTCTTGAAAACACATGTGTGTTCTCACTCAATGTCATAGTGTCATGTGGATCTTTCTCCTTTGCCCAAAGCAGTCTATTCTTCTATGTCCCTGCCCAGCTTCTGGTAGCAGGGAAGTGAGAGAGTGTGGCTCTGATTCTGTCTTCCTCTTTAGATGGGCTATGCCAAAAGCGGCCAGAATGCGCGGGGCATCCTCACGAGGCTGTACAGCCGGGCTTTCATCGTGGCGGAACCTAATGGGTCAAATCGAGTGGTGTTTGTCAGCATTGACATAGGCATGGTATCGCAGCGACTCAGGCTGGAGGTAAGTGACAGAGGGGAGGAAGAAACGAGGGGGTTAGAGACAAGTCTGTGGGTGAATGTGATGGGTTTTGGTTCCAGTGAGTTTCTGCTACCTTTAACATTAGAAGCTCTTGGCAATCCAGCAGCCAATCTTACAAGGAGAATGATCCTTACTTTCTTAATCTAAGTTGTCTTGGTCAAAACTTGCATCCAATTCTTCTGAGGGCTTATCGTCATTGTTCTTGCTAATGTGTTTTCAAAAGCTTATTCTGTTCCAGGTGACCTTCACGTATATTCTCTCATTTAACCTGCTTGTTAGACAGTTGAGAGTGCCAATTAATCAATTACTCCTCTTTCAGGTTCTCATGCTATTGAGAATAGATGCAATGAATCAGATGAGAATTAAAATGCAGCACTGAAGCGAGGCTACCTGTGAATTGATAATTGCAGAATATGGTGATAAGCACATGAGAGTTCATTATATTAGTCAGGTTACTTTTGTGTGGGTTTGAAAATTTCTACAACATTTTAAAAAAGAATATCTCTTAATCTCTGATAGTATGGTAGAATATGGCAGGCTTTTCTATGTTTATCTCAAATTTGGACCTTGTTTTCTACCTGCAGGTACAACTTAGCTTAGCAGAAAGGTACATGGGGAGTCCTGGGCTGCCTGAGGCCTGTAAGAAATAGCAGAGGAGGACAGGGGAGAGAAGGAGATAAGGAGAGGAGAGGGTTAGGGAGAGGAGAGGAGAAGGAGAGAACTAGAGTAATGGTGTGGACTTCTAAAGCTAAAAGAGATAAATAATAAGAATGAGAATGAGAATCTTTCCTCTACTGCTTCAGTCCCCCAAATGCCTACAACAGACAGCCAGCGTTAGGCCAGGCAAAAGCCATGAACCATGAACTCCATCCAGGTCTCCCAGGTGGGTGGTAGGAACCCAAGTACTTGGCTCATCATCTGCTGCCTCGCAGATGCATTAGCAGGGAGCTGGATTAGACGTGCAGAGTGGCCAGAACTAGAGTCCAGTGTGGTATAAGGGTATCCCAAGTTGTGGCTTTACCTGCTGGGCCATAGTGCCATTATCTCTCAAAGGGAGAAGAATCAAAGAATTTGTGGAATATAGTCTTTAAGATTGTCACAAGGGGATTCAAGAAATGGAAATTAGGGAAACATTTTCATGGTGGAAATAATACTTGAGTAAGCAGAATTTTAAACAGTCAAAATTTGGGAGGGAGAGAGGTCAGATGAAGGGGATAACATGAAAACAGAAAGGTACAAGGAAGGGATAGAGACCCACTTGAGGTGACAAGAGAAGTTGTATGAAGATATATTGAGGTGTATAGTTGGAAATATATGTGAATGCGTGTTGGTCTAGTTGTGGAGGGTCTGAGTTGTCAGACTGTTTTTAATTCTGTAGGTAACACAGAGTTTTATAAAAGTAAAAACAATTTTTTTGAAAGTTAATTAATTGTATATTTGAGAGGTGGAGGGGTGGGGAAGATACTGTCAGCTGCTGGTGCACTTCCCAAATGCTACAACAGCTGTACATACTGTGCTACAACAGTGTGGAATGTGAGTGTTCCAACCCAGCATTTTAACCATTAGGTCAAATGCCAACTGTCTTAGAAAACTTTTGAGTGTTGGAGTGGTATAAACATAATTATGCTTTAGGATGGTTAATCAGACAGTGATTTTTGATATGGACTGAAATAAAGTTGAACCAGAGCTGAAGACACAAACGGCAGATTCTTTAAATTTAAATTAGTGTTGAGGCTGCATAGGTGAGGGGCCAGTTAGGAAAGCAGCAGTTATCCTAGGTCATTCAAATAGAGAGAATTAAACACATAGAAGCTATATGCGGTGTTGGAGGGCTTAACGTACAAGAAAAGGGAGCTGGTGTTGTAGGAAGGGTTTTCAAACTTAGCCTGACAATTTTCCCTGTATCCCAACATCTTGAACCAATAATGGGATAGCAGTGACACTACAGGGTTGCGGAAGATGAATTTAAGTGCTAATGAGGTTTAAAGATGAACAGATATAAATCTAGCACTTGCATAGTATTCATGATGAGCCAGGTACTATTCTAAGTGCCAGAAATATATTCACTTGTTAAATCCCCCAAACAATTCCCTGAGGGACTTACTGTTGTTTTGTCATTTGACAGATTGGTAAACTAACTTTCCGAAGATTAGATGCTTTACCCAAGCTTACACAATGGGGAACTGGCAGAGCTGAGATTCAGTCTTGGACTTCGGGGTGCCAGAGTCCCTTGCTCATTACTCCTTCACTATACTGCTTTTCTTAGGAGTCAAAGTCATTCTTAGGAGAATGGTGGGGTCATTAGCAGCCAAAGAAGAGTCAAAAGTAGACTTGGAGTGGAATGGGGAGGGGGAAGGGGTTTGATGTGTGTTTTGTAGGTACCATGGAGTCAATGGATATTATTTAATGACCTCTTGCTATTTTTACTTTCCCATGCAATCTAAGACCCAGTGGGAAGGACTTTAAAATAATCCCATTTAGTTATCCCAAGTTAACCCAAGGGGAGGTGTGAAAAAATAAGTGTAGCTAAGTAAGTGCCATTAAGTTTATTTATAACACCTGGCATTAGGTAGGTTTGCAGCCTCAGCTTTTGGACTGATGAAATTTCCAGCATGGAATGGAGATTAGGAAAGATCTCTGAGCAGTGAGGCAGAGCAGGAAAACAGAATGACTTTCTAACAGTTTTTGTGTCCTGATCCCAAGAGTGTCAGCATCAGGAAACGGAATGAAAACTGAAGACAAAGAAGTGAGCTATAGACACCGATGTATCTGCTCTGTTCTGTGTTAAAATATCCCTCCTTTCATGGAGTGGTAGCCGTGCTGTTTGCAATGGCAGTTTGCTGTCATTATTAGTGTATGATTAAGTTTTTAATTTCTATTTCTTTTCCTTTTTCCAGGAGACCCATGTGTCTGGCTTCATATCAGAGACTATGGTTTAGGATAAAATTTCTGTGTGCTATTTGAAGTGCTTTTTTTCATTTTGAAATTCAAGACATAATTTCTGTCTTTTAAAGAACTAGATAGACATGAAAATACATTTAATTCTAAATTCCTTAAATTACAGTCCTTTAGGTATAAAATGGACGGGATGAAGAGAGCTTTGAAGCTGAGTTGTGGTTCTTTTTTTTTTTTTTCCAAAACCCTTCCATCTTGGTTGCAGAATGGTTTCAGAATATCAGCTTTTGACTTTAGTTCAACTTTCATGATGTCCCTTCATTGATTATTTCCCCATTTCTTGTAGCTGTTTCTCCTTCATGAGTGTGTTAGTTGTAAGGGTATTTCAAAAAGTTAATGGAAAAAAGAAATTAAAGTTTTGGTACAAAATTTTTTGGAAATCCTTTCCTAATTTTTTGGTAATACATATTTTCTATTAACGTTTATGGTGAACCCTCATATTTTGGGAGAATATGTGAGTGATAAGGAATTGGGGCTGGAGTTAGGATAAAACAGATTTAACACAGCAACTTTTTAGGATGGAGAATGAAGATTATTTGGTTACAGGGTTGTTAGTGTGACTTGGTTATATCGTATTTCCTTTTCATATTTGTCTTGTAGTGTAGAATTGCTTATATGGCCATGGCAACCCAGTAATTGGACTTTGGGGGCAAGAACAGGTTAGTGAGGCAAGATGGCATATAGAATCTACTTTCTGCTTCGGTGGGTCCATGCCTGGAATTAGAGTGGTGGAGCTCTCCATTTGAAGCAGAAGAGGTTGAATGGATGTCTTTATGAATGTGAAGTGCATAGCATGTAAGGAGCTTCATGTAATAATGGTTTTCTGGAATCAGCTTGCACTAGCTCAGGATGATGGATGGTTAGAGACTGAGGAGTGCTGTGAGCTGGCTATTGAACAAGACAGCTTGGAATTGACCAAGTATTTATACCACCACATTGGCGAACAATACAAATGAGGGCTTTTGTAACCATGTCCTCTGAGAGACAGTTTATGAAATTCTCTATGCCACTTTATTAGCTAGCTTTTCTTTACTTTAAAATGCTTGAGAGGAGCCACTTAGGAGGGAGGGTTTATTTCAGTTTATAGTTTGGAGGTTCACAGTCCAAGACTGAACAGCTCCATTAGTCTGATATTTGGGGAAGGCTGCCAATGGCTGAGAGAGTGCAGAGGGATGATCACTTGGCAAGCCATGAAGCAAAACCATCCTTCACCCTTGGTGCGTCTGTCCTTGTGCCATCATGACTTGATCATGGCACTCTACTCTAGTAAGCTAATCCTATCCTTTCACTTCTCAAAGACCCCCACCTTCAGTTGCTGCAATTGGATCAAGTCTCCACCCGAATCCATGAATCATTGGCATTAGCCATTAACTGTTAACATAAGACCTTGAGGTTTACATGTTTGCATGAGCTAAATTCTATTGAATCCATAATAGTCACACTCAAGGTAAGCATTGCTGATGGTTGCCTTAGGTTTGATTCTTTTGTTGGATCATTTTAATGATCTACAAAGAAGTCATAATAAGACCAGACTTTCAGATTACCACTGATTAAAGCATAATCAGAAATAGGTAATCAGTAGCATCACTGATTTTCTCTTTCTTAGTATGTGCATTTCATATAGAGACACTAGTCATGTTTATGGGAGTTCACTGATTGACTAATTCAATTGAGACTTACCAAGTCTCTGTGTTAGGTATCTATTGCTATACAAGAATTCCTCCTAAAACTTATAAAGCACCACTAATCCTATATTATTTCTCAGGGTTTCTAGGGTCAGAAATCGCAGAGTGGCTGGATTGCACGATTCTTCCTTGTGACCTCACTCGGGGCCATGAAGTGGCACTCAGGTGTTGGCTGTGGTTGCAGGGTTTTGAAGGCTTGACTGGAGCTGAATGTGCTTCTTGGGGTGCTCACCGGAGGGCCTGGCAAGTTAGTGCTGACAAGATGGTTCCTCTCCACAGGACTGCTGAGGCATCCTCCCATCATAGTGGATGATTTCCCCTAGCCCAGTCAGCGTGGTGGTCTGTGTCAGCAAATACGGAATTCTTCCTTTTGGGAAGTGAGGCAATAGAGTGGCTAACAGACCTTTGCAAAGCCTGGTCACTGGCCGGCGCCACGGCTCACTAGGCTAATCCTCCGCCTTGCGGCGCCGGCACACTGGGTTCTAGTCCCGGTCGGGGCGCCGGATTCTGTCCCGGTTGCTCCTCTTCCAGGCCAGCTCTCTGCTGTGGCCAGGGAGTGCAGTGGAGGATGGCCCAAGTCCTTGGGCCCTGCACCCCATGAGAGACCAGGAGAAGCACCTGGCTCCTGCCTTCGGATCAGCACAGTGTGCTGGCCGCAGCGCGCCAGCCCGGCGGCCATTGGAGGGTGACCCAACGGCAAAGGAAGACCTTTCTCTCTGTCTCTCACTGTCCACTCTGCCTGTCAAAAAAAAAAAAAAAAAAAAAAAAGCCGGGTCACTGTGCCTAGGATGATTTTCCCTCCACTGTTTGTGTGAATAGCTGCTCATTTAAGCATTTGCAGGAAGACGCCTCAATAACACCCATCACTCTGCTTTTTCTTATCCAGCGATGTTTTTCTCCATAGCATTTATCAATATATGATATTTATTATACATTTGCTTGTTTATTATCTTTCTTCATTAGAATAAAAATATCTTCAAGGTTGAAATTTCATATGTCTCTTATGCTTAGAACATTGTGTACATATTAATGCAGTATGTTGAATGAAGATTAAATAAGACTACTTGGCCTGTAGTTAGAAAGAAGTGGATCTGGAGCCTAGCTTTACCACTTGTGAGATTAGTGGGCAATTACAACTTCTGTATACTTCAATGTTTCAGCCAAAAAGTGTGTTTAACAATAGCTACCTCTTGGAGGTTATTATAAAGATTTTTAAATGACAAAGTATATACAGTAGTATTGTGCTTGCACATACAAGAATCTATGATATGTTAAGTTATTGCAATTACTGTTGATATTACTAGCATGAGATACTCAAGCACAGATGAAGAGCCACTTTGAAGGTGTGTCACTGGTATGGATCAGGGATCCAACTCATCAGAGCCTTTTCTCATTCTGAGTCCTCTTTTCTCTCTCTTCTTATTCTTTTCTGTTTCTCTGAAGGTCCTGGATAGGCTGCAAAGCAAATATGGCTCCCTGTACAGAAGAGACAACGTTATCCTGAGTGGCACTCACACGCACTCAGGTCCTGCTGGCTATTTCCAATACACTGTATTTGTGATCGCCAGTGAAGGATTTAGCAATCGAACTTTTGAGTACATGGTCAATGGCATTATGAAGGTAGGCAAAGAGCCCCAGAGGTAACTGTTCTCTACCCTGTTCTCAAGTGCTTTAGGAGTGATTTGATGTGAAAAGGAGAGACTTTCTGTGGCATGTGAATTTGAGCGCAGCCTTGGCACTTGCCTTGCTTTCTACTTCCTGATTCTCTTTCAGCTTCTGGTCCGGACCTGTGGGCTGTTAGGCCTGTAGCATTGATAATTGGAAGAGGAGGGTTCTATGGCTTACTGCCCTGTGTAGTCATCTAAAGCATTTTGTATGCAACTGTTACAGATTATAAAGTCTACCATGGTCTGCACAAAGTTACATGAAATGAAACCAGTCAAAGAATGAAAAGTAATTACAAACAACTCTAATATTTCCTTGCATTTCCCAAACAGCAAAGAAGATCCAACTTAAGAACATATATCCTGGCCGGCGCTGTGGCTCACTAGGCTAATCCTCCGCCTGGCGGTGCCGGCACACCAGGTTCTAGTCCCGGTCGGGGTGCCGGATTCTGTCCTGGTTGCCCCTCTTCCAGGCCATCTCTCTGCTGTGGCCAGGGAGTGCAGTGGAGGATGGCCCTGCACCCCATGGGATACCAGGATAAGTACCTGGCTCCTGCCATCGGATCAGCACAATGCACTGGCCGCAGCGCGCCGGCCGCGGCGGCCATTGGAGGGTGAACCAACAACAAAAGGAAGACCTTTCTCTCTGTCTGTCCCTCTCACTGTCCACTCTGCCTGTCAAAAACAAAAACAAAAACAAAAACAAAACAAAACAAAACACCATGTATCCTGATTTTTCAAATACTCTAGAGCAGATATAGACCTTATTGGTGCTTTCACCAACACCCTACTACCCCTTTCCCATTCCCAGTGTGGGTAGCTTGTACTTTCTCTCCCTGTCTTCCAGCTTTTTCTTTTCTTTCATAGGATTCTTGATCACTGTTTTCTTTATTCCTTTGCCTTCCAAGTATAGTTTCTCTCTATTTTCTTTTTTTAACAATGCCACCCTCACATTTTAGGAATCCAGCCAGCAAAGGCAGAAATTTCTTTATGATGATTTTTTTCAAACTGTGGGGAGCAATGTATTAATGGCTTATAAAGTCAGTTTCAGTGATTGCAATAAGCATTCCTTAAAAGAGAACTTTTGTAAAACAGCTTGCAAGATAACATACATCTAATACATAGTAAGAATATTTGTCCTGTGAACTTTTGGTTTAGGGTGCATATATTGCTATGTATATTAAGTTGTGATGACAAGATGATTTCTTATTGTGGCCCTTAGGCAAAAAATTCTGAAAAACTCTGCCTTATAGAGTGGTGGGGTCGGGGGAAAGAGGATGCTTACATGTTAACACATCTTGTCCCAGTATTGTGGGAGTCAAATTTCACATTTTTGGCCATCTGAAACTGCTCATTGTGCATGGCTCAATAGTCCTGTGAACCAAGGAAAAGGAACTCTTTTCAGATTACTCAGCACTGTGATTCCCTATCCTCAGCCCTTTCTCTATCTCAACCGTGAAGGCCATTGCAGTTCACCTCCAATCAGCACCCAAATGGTTCTCTAGCTTTTATCCCACAGGGGAGACAGATTGGAGACAAAAGAACTTGTTCCCAGTGCTCCTCTGTTCATGTTGACTAAGTCATTATTCCCAACAGGACTTCTAAGCTCACAACTCCTTTTTTGGTTTTTGACTTTCAGAGCATTGAGATAGCACATACAAATATGAAACCAGGCAAAATCTTCATCAATAAAGGAATTGTGGATGGTGCACAGATCAACCGAAGCCCTTATTCTTATCTTCAGAATCCACAGTCAGAGAGAGCAAGGTGAGCAAGAATTATTAAAACAAGACCATTGAGTTTCCCTTGGGGAACCGCCACAGGTCCAAGTCCAGGGTTATTACTTGCTGAATGTGGTGGGATCCTGAGTAAGTGATGAAACTAAAATGATTTTAAAACATGCTGTAATCTAAGTCAAGCAGAAAACAAGTACATTCAGAAGCAAGCATCACTTTTCCACTTTGTTGACTGTGAGAGGTTGTGTGGATATTTGAAGGGCTCTAGGCTTTGCAATTAGGACAGATGTGGTCTCAGTTTAGCTTTATAATTTCCTAGTCATCTGACCTTTAGTGATTCACTTATCTTAATTTATTGGCTCTCAGCTTCTTCATCTGTAAAAAGGAGATAAAAATGTGCATATCATGTCTTTGTGAAATTAATGAATAGCTCTTTTATTACATGTTATCTAGAAGAAATCATCTCAGTCCAGGAGACTATGACAAGAGATAGAAGATAAAAGAATAAAAAATCTGAAAGGAAGAACAAGAAATAAAACCAATGACACTGAATGGAAAGACTAGGGGAAGATGATGATGATGGTTTTTTTTTTAATGATGATGTAGACTTGTGATAGAAAAGAAGCATGTGGCTACTGTGGCAGTGCAAACTAATATCTCAATTTCCACTTGACCTTTTAGATTTGTCTGTGTATTTTCAAAGCTTTCAAAGGAGTTTATTTTTAGAAAATGTAATCTGATTTCTCGTGAAAGGACATAAAATAACATTTATATTGCAAATCTTGAGTGATCTGGCTTTGTGTACTCTCTGGTCTTTTTAAGAAATTCTGATAAAAATTGATATAGGTAAGAATTTCAAAGATACTTCCCTTTGATAAGAAATACATATATGTTGTATTACATTACATGTATTATTTCAGGTCCCATTGGTTAACTTAGTGCCCCTAACTTTGATTGTAAACCATTTCCTTAGCCAAGGAATGAGACAGGGAATACAGTTCGCAGGATTACTGCTTGTCAGGGAGTCTCAGTTACTGAAACATGTTTTTGTTTTTGTGTCAGCTTTTATTATTTGTCATATAGGAGGGCCAGGATGCAACGCAATTGACTAAGTTTATTTGTTTTACTGACTAGGTATTCTTCAAATACAGACAAAGAAATGGTCGTCTTGAAAATGGTGGATTTGAATGGAGACGACTTGGGCCTTATCAGGTACTGTATTTCCTTTTTAATCTTGTTCATTTATTTAAGATTTTTATTTATTTGAGAGACAGAAAGAGACAGACAGATGGATAGAGAGAGCACTCTTCTCTTCTGGTTCACTCCTTAAATCCCCACAACAAACAGGGTGAATCAGCCCATGCTGGGTTGAAGCTGGGAGCTGAACCTGCAATCTTGATTTCCCATGTGGGTAGCAAGAACCTAAACCATTACCACTGCCCCTCAGAGTCTTCATTTGCAGGGAACTGGAGTCAGAGTAGAGCTGTGTATCAAAACAAGACACACTAGTAGTGCCTGGTCTCTCTTTTTTTTTTTTTTTTTTGACAGGCAGAGTGGACAGTGAGAGAGAGAGACAGAGAGAAAGGTCTTCCTTTTGACATTGGTTCACCCTCCAATGGCCGCCACGGATGGCGCGCTGCGGCCGGCGCACCGCGCTGATCCGAAGGCAAGAGCCAGGTGCTTCTCCTGGTCTCCCATGCGGGTGCAGGGCCCAAGCACTTGGGCCATCCTCCACTGCCTTCCCGGGCCACAGCAGAGAGCTGGCCTGGAAGAGGGGCAACCGGGACAGAATCCGGCGTCCCAACTGGGACTAGAACCTGGTGTGCCAGCGCTGCTAGGTGGAGTTTTAGCCTATTGAGCCACGGCGCCAGCCTTCCTTTTTTCTTTCTTTTTAAAGTTCAATCTGGATATCTTTTCTTTCCTTAATTACAAGGGGAAAAGGAGACTGGAACAGTGCCAGTGAATAAGTTGAGTGGTTCAGAGTTCAGATTTGGGAGCTAAAAACACAACTGGAACCTGGTCACAGGGCCTTGGGTGAAGTTCTTAGCCTCGTAGAGTTTAGTTCTTTGTCACCACAACAGGGCTAACAGAAATGATGTGAGTAAGGGATCTTGGTGAGAGCTTAGCACGGTGTCAGGGCTTTGCCAATTAGGAATAAGAGCAGAACCAAGACCGCCTGGAGAAGACAGATGAGGTAACATTGCATCACGGCCCACTTTGACCACTGTTGTCTGACCACAGCAGCATACAGGAAAACACATGGATTTTGTTTTCTTTGAAATGAAGGCATTTGCTTACAAATGTGATTTTGGTTATTGTAATTGGAGGAACTCAGAAACTGAGTGAGTCACATAGCTCTATACACTTTGACCTGTGGGTTTGCAAACAGTGTAAAAATGCTGTAAGGAAGTTTAGGATGGTGCTTGGGTGCTGGAACCACATGACTTGGATTCATTCTGGGATCTTACCCTTATTGGCCATGTGGCTTTAGATAGTGATCACTTTTTTATCCTTAAGCATTTTTGAGCATATTGTTAGGTGAAGAGAGTCCTTAAAATGTTGGTAGTAAGTGCTAGAGAAGTGATGAGGGGACTTCCAAGTAGAATGATGAAGTGCAAGTGAAAGACTCTATGTGAGTAAGGCTAATGGCAAGTCAGAAGTAACGAAATGGTGAAGAAGAATAAGGACTATGACTCACAGTTCATCACATACCAGGGTTGGTCCTAAAACTAGGTGCAGAGTGCCTTGGTGATAAAAGAGTTCAAGTTTTGGGGTGAGCTTGACTTGGGTTCAAATTTCAGCCCTGTCTACTGCTTACTAGGCTTCTGGCTTGGCAAAAATAACTTAATCACACAGACCTAAATTATCCTATTTGAAATTAGGAATAATGCCTCATAGGGTTGTTTGAGGATTAAATGAGGTAATGCATACAAAGCTCTAGTTCTGCTTCTGGCACAGGACAATAGTTTGATCAGTTTAGCTAAATGGTAGGGAATACACTCTGATTTTTTCTCTTTTAAACAACTCCATTATTGCCATATGAGACAGCCTGAAATTCTTAGCATTGGAGTCACTCCTTTGTGTCTAAAGTGGGGTCAAAAAAATTCCCAATAAACTTGGCTATATGGGCTGTAATAGGATCCATTCTTCCATTACAATAAATTAAATATTTATTATTTGCCATCTAGAATTGGACTCAGTAGGCTTCCTAAATTTCAGACATGCAACTGTGTTTTGGGGATGTGTTATGATAAATAAGGCATCATTCTTATCTTCAAAGGTCTTGCAGATTAGTGGGGTGATTGAACAGGAGTCAGAGCCAAGCAGACAAGTAACTCTCACATAAATCAGTTGGTCAACAGTACTACTGAGTGGGTGTACGTAAGTGCTGCAGGGGTTTGGAAGAGGTAGCACTGAGCTCATCTCGAGAGCCTTGTGGAAACTTCCAAGAGAAAATGACCTTTGAGCTGGTCCTTGGAGGAGTCATGGGATTTCTCAGGGAGCTGGGGAGAAGTCAAGCTAGCAGCTCTAGGTTATGAAGAACTTCAGTGGGGAATTTGACTAGGAGAGGGCTAGCAAAAGGGCATCTCTGACTATTCAGAGTATCCCAAATTTGTTGGGAGGAGTAGATTTGCCCTTATTGCTTCCATTTAACTCCAGACTGAATTACCTGGGCATTCATGATTCCCTTTTATTAGTTTCTGAATCATTTGACAACAGGACCCAAAAACTCCAAAATGCTTTCCAGATGTTTTTACTCCCTGGCATATAACTATATTACATATCTACAGGTTAGAGAGTCACCTGTCAGGGTTATAGTAAGGTCTGCCTTCTGCTTCAACATGCTGCAGTAACTTTCCATTGTTTCTATAGCCACCAGATGTTATCCTGATGTAATTGCTGAAATTCCCTCTTGTTGCATAGTGATAATTGCTGTTTGAATACATTAAAAATGATCCAAAGCACAAAGTCAAATCTGGGCTGCTAAGTAGCTCTGCCACCACGTGCAGGTGGCTGCTGTTAGAAGCCCAACGTGAAAGAGTTTGGCAGCACAGAATCTCAGATCATGAGGATCATACAGTTCAACCTTCAGCTGAGGCACAAAGGATTAGAAAGGAGATGAGCCTTGCCCAGAGCCATAGTCAAAACCATGCTCTTCACACTGAAAAATCACATTGCAGTTTGTAGTTCATTCCTTCTTTCATTGTTGAAAAATGTCTTCATTCAGTAAGTCTGTACTAGGTAAATACTATGTGCCATACAGTACTTTCTAGTTCTTGGAATGATGTGTTCCTTCAGGCTGAAATCAGATATCAAATACTTTGCAATCAAATATCTGTGCTCCTTGAACAAATCCCTTAAACTTTCTGAGACTCAGTTTTCATACTGCCCAAATGTGGCTATCACATCTTCCTTCCACAATGATTATAGAGATTACAACCAACTTAATGTATATGTGTCATGAACTGCACTTGTCCTGGAGACAACCTGATGAGCACAAGTAGACAGAGCTGTTGTCCTTACAGGGCTTAGAGTCTACTAATGAGACAGAAGGCATTCAAAGTGTCGTCCAATCCATGTAAAATTGTAATTGAGTTACGTGCTAAGATTTATATAATTATACAATTAAACTACATTTGGGTTAGGTTCTGAGAAAGGAATGTTTGCATATTAAAGTAATTTGATCTTTCAGAGGAATTGAGAAAGGTTTCCATAGGAAGTGACAATGGTACCAAATCCTAAAGGAAGAGTAGGAATTAATTGGCAAGTTAGCTGGTGGAAAAGAACATTTAGCATATGTGAGAAGCATGTACAAAAGCCCTATAGCTTTTTTAAAGAACTGATAGGAAATCTGGGTGGCTGATGTACAGAGGACAATGGGGCAACATGTTGTGAGATAAAGTTAAATGTTAGATTGTTACCGGTAAATGGCAGGGTTCTTGTCTTCCAGCAAGAAAGAATTCAGGCGTGAGACAGAGAGTAGTGGAAAGTAAAATAGCAAGGTTTATTAGGGTGGGGACATCCCTAAGAACAGATGGGCACCTCTCCAGACAGAACCTGAGAGAGAGTGCCCAGTCGCTCAGACTGGAGAAAGAGCGAGGTTACATGGTTGAGTGGAGAATACACCTGACCAGGTCAGGCGGGTGGCTCAGCCTGGAGGCAGAGGGCTGAGTGCACAGTCCGGTTGAGGCAAGGGTTGGGGGTAGGAGTGAGGTGGTGGGGGGATGGTTAAGGAGATGGGTCTTTGTCTTCACATATCTCCTCCTGAAACAAAAGACTTTATGGATGTAAATACTAAAAAAACTCCTATCTGAGTTTTCCCGCAGACAGGAGGAAGCCTAGCTGGCACTGCCCTGGGTTTAGAGGAAGGGTGAACAAGACCCCCTGGAGAATCAGGATCCAGAAAAGGGTATTTGAAATGCAGATACTGGGCTGCATCTGGAAGATTATCAAGCAGAAGAGGCGGGGACCCCCACCTGGCAGGTAGAAGGGGGCAGGGCAGGATGCGAACACTGGGCTGCCCCTGAAACATTATCGGGATGACTTTGAGATGCAGATGCTGGACATAGACATCTTCTCTTTAGGCCTTTGTCACTCACACATAAGCTCATATCTGACTTCCTACCTAACAAGATGACTTGATAAATGCCTTGTTCTTTGGACCAAGAGGAATGGAAACACTAAAGTGTTTTTGCTGGATTGGAGACACTGTTGAAGGCGCAGGGAATGAAATAAAAACTGTACATGTGCAATTATCCCCTACCATTGTGCCTCCTTCAATTGGCCTGTCCTGGACTACTTTCAGTCAACAGAAAAATGGCAGAAATGGCACTGGATCACGGCTGGACCTCCTTTTTTTTTAATACTTAATTATTTTTTAATTTGCAAAGTTAATTTGCAGAGCAGTTTTAGGTTCACTGCAAAGTTGAGTGGAAAATACAAAGAGTGGCCATTTATGCTCATCCCTAACACATGCCTCTCCCACTATCAATACTCCCACGAGATGAGTACATTTGTTAAAATTGATGAGTCTGCATTAACATATCATTACCACCCATAGTTTACATTGCTGCCATATTAAGAGTTTTTGTTCTAATCTTTGTTTTGTTCTTATATTTTCTGAAATCTTTAATAATAAGAAAAGATTAAGATGCCAAAAAATCATAATCTTGAGATAAACATCTCAATACATTTTTTAAAGTGGAATTTTA